TTACTCTCATTTCTTGAAAGATTTTTTCTCCTGGGAAAAGTGCTTTATTTTTTAAATTAATTTTTAAAATATTTTTTCTAAGTAATCTCTACACCCAATATGGCACTCAAATTTACAATCCTGAGATCAAGTGTCACATGCTCTATTTGATGAGCCAGCCAAGTGCCCCAGGGACAAGTATTTTGGATTGCCAGCTGTTTCTTTCTGTATATGGGAGATACCATTGCAGTGTTACATGACTTCTACAATTGCTAATAAGAAGTCAGCTGTAAATTTAATTGTTGATCTACTGGAGGTAATTTGTACTTCTACTTTGGATGCTTTTAAGAACCTCATTTTTGTCTTTGGTGTTGCCATAATGAATTCACCATAGTGAATCTATAGTTCACTATCATGTGTCTAGAGATGGATTTCTTTTTATTTATCATACTTGGAATTTGTTGGCTGCTTTATTCTGTGAATTGGTGTCTTCTATGCATTCTGAAAAAATCTTCAGGCATTATCTCTTCAAATATTATCTTTGCCCCACTCTCTTTCCCTCTGTCTCTTATTCTTATGAAACTATAATTAGGTTTATATTAGATCTTTTCACTCTATCCTTCATTTTTCTTAACCTCTTTTATATAATGTTTTTGTCTCTTTGCATTCCTTTCATTTGTCGATAATTTTCTTAATTTCTGGTTTTCTAATTCTTTATTATTTTTAAAGAATTAATTAATTAATTAATTAGTTTATGAGATAGATAGATAGATGGGTAGATAGAGAAGCAGAGACATAGGCAGAGGGAGAAGCAGGCTCCCCACAGGGAACCCGATGTGGGACTTGATCCTGGATTCCATATCCCGGGATCATGCCCTGAGTCAAAGGTAGGTGCTCTACCGCTGAGCCACCCAGGCACCTCTAATTCTTTCTTTTAACTTGTCTAATCCAATGAGCTTCCCATTCCAATTCTTGTATTTCATTTGTAGAAGTTACATTTGGTTCTTCTTTATATTTACTATATCATTCAAAAATCCCATATATTGCAAATAATTTAAATGTCTTTCATTTCTTTAAACAAAACAGTTGCTTTATAAACAAAGCCCGATAATTATAAAGCCATATTGCCATTGTGTTGTAATTGCCAATAATCTCTTGAGAACTGTTTCTTTGTGTGCTATTTTTTAAATTGTGATGAATTATATTCCTTTGAAAACTAATTGTAAGAATTATTTGAAATCTATCATACAGGTACAGTCCAACCAAAGAGGATTTGTATTTGCTATAATAAGATTCCTAGGCACTGCTAATTGCAAACATTTTCAACTATATTCACAGCCTGGTATTTGGGGGAAGTTTTTTAGGTGGTATGAATCTAGGCTGTAAATCCATCTATTAACTTTTTTTGTGGTTGCAATATTTCCAAGACAGGCAATTATTACACCCCCTTCATTTCTCAGTGTCAATGCAAATTTCCTGAAATATTCTAGAGATTGGGTTGGTTGTGCTTCCATATGGCCCTGGCTTTATGTGGGAAAAGTACCTTATTAGACTCCCTACCTGGGGTGGGCCCTGGATTTTGACTTTTGAATTTTGTGCCCTGCAAGAAATAGAAATGGCCCTCTTGCCACAATATTAGTATCTTGCTTACCTCTCTGGGTATGCACTTTCCCTTATAGTTTGCATTGGTATGGTCTCACTAACTTGTCAGTTACCTGATGCTTTACAGAGCTTCATTTCTACTTTGCCTATTATTTTAGTTTTTTAAGGCAAGGTACTTTCCTAGCCTATTTTATTATCATAAATGGAACTGCTATATAGATTTTGAAAAACAAACCAGTATAGAATAGTTGTTAAGAGTACAGACTCTGAAGTCAGACTGTCTCGCTTTGCATCATGGCATCATGGATCTAGGCTTTACCTGCTCTGCAATATTGGACAAATTACTTAACTTCATGTATTTCACTTTCTTCATCTTTAAATTGAGGAAATTATTTCTTTTAAATTAAGTATGTTCCTCATAACACAGGTGAAAAATTTGGTACACTTTCTGCCTCTTGATAATCACTATTAGTTATTGTTATTACCTCTCTATGAAAATTGGTGAGAGAGAAAAAGTGAGAAATGACAAGAAAAAAAAGGAAAGGATAACCTGGTATGTGAGGGTTAAACTGTATGGGAACAGGAAGGGGGAGAAATGACAAAAATGTGGGAGAAACAGTATACAAAGAAGTTTTATTAAGGAAGTCTTGATGTTGCTATCCAATATAATTCACTCTCTTCTGTTTTCTCAAAAGATCTTCAGTAAGGACCTACCTTAGTTTCCTTTTTTAAAAAATATTATATTCATTTATTCATGGCGGGGCGGGGTGTGCAGAGACCTAGGCAGAGGGATGAAGCAGGTTCCATGCAAGGAGCCCGATGCAGGACTCGACCCCAAACCCCGGGATCATGCCTTGAGCCAAAGGCAGAAGCTCAACCGCTGATCCACCCAGGTGTCCCCCTACATTGGTTTTCAATATGGTTTTTGCTTTGTTTTGTTTTCTTGGAAGCAGGATTTGTGTTTCTTCTGGATGTGACACTGTTTCAAGACTGGTTTGTAGGAGACTCTGTCTTATTCTCATTTCCTATTTACCTACAGGAGTAAATAATTTCATCACAAAGACTGCTGAATTTAATAAGCCCTTGCTTTGGCAATCTGTCTGAAGCATAGAAGGCACTCAAAAAAACCAAACCAAAACAAACCAACACCAAGACAAGTTGAATAAAATAAGTGAATGAAATGCTGGCAAAAATTTTAATTAGAAAATAAAAGCTAGATGTTAGGCCTTTATAGCACCAAACACAGTAAGAGAGATGATGTAAAAATGATGATGATGTTTTACAAACAGCATTTTCTAGTTATAAGTGGAACTTCTCGGTGCAGAACACCTGGGAAACATAAAGCAGGGTTTTGCCACCTCTTCAAAATTGACATGTTGGTCTGGATAATTCTTTGGGAAGTGTGTGTTTAGTGCACTATAGGACGTTCAGCAGCAGACCTAGCCTCTACCTGCTAGATGCCAGTAGCACTCTCCACACATGCACCCGTTGTGACCACCAAAAACATCTCCAGATATTGCCAAATATCCCCTAAGGGGCGAAATCACTTCAGATGGAGAACCACTGAAATAGAAGAATTACAAAAAATTACAATCCTCCCGTCTAGAAATGCAAACTTTTTGTTATATAAATAAAAATTATGAGAGTCACATTGATCTTACCATTCTATAGTCAGCTTAATTTTCACTCAGTAATACAGCATCAATATTTTTTTTGCTATATTATATTCCTCTACAGCATAATTTTTTTGGTCGTGTGAGTACTTCATAACCAAATAATCATAATTCCTCCTTCCTCCCTCCCATCCCTTGTCCTTCCCTTCATTTCACTTATACATTAGTGTGCACACTCATATATAATCAGATACATTATTGCTATTATTCTTTTAGACCAAATATTTCTTACCAGATCAATTAAAAGTGAGGAAATGTTTTTATTTTACTTTCATTTACTTTCCTTTTCCAATGCACTTCCTTTCTTTGCGTAGATCCAAGTTTCCAACCTCTATCATTTTCCTTCTTTCTAAAGACTTAACAGTTTTTTTTCCAAGGCAGCTCTACTGGCAACGAATTTGCTCAATTTTTTTTAATCTGAGAAAGTATTTCACTTTACTCTTTTCTTCCTTTTGCAGCCTCATCACATCTGAAAAGAAGTCAAATGTGATTCTTATCTTTGCTCCTCTATTGGTAGACGATTTTTTCCCTCTGGCTTTTTCAGAATTTTTTCTTTATCTTTGAGTCTCTGTAGTTTGAGAATGATATGCAGTTTTCCTCATCTCTTCTGCTCGGTGTTCTATGATCTTACTGGGTCTGACTTTGGTGTATGACATTAATTCGAGGGAATATTTCAACATTATTGTTCCAAATACTTGTCTGTTCCTTTCTTCCTGGGATATACATTACATGTATATTACATCTTTTGTAGATCTTGGATATTCTGCTCTGTTTGTTTGTTTTTTCAGTGTTTGTTTTCCTTGTTCTCCAGTTTTGGAGATTTCTGTTGAGGTATCTTCAAGCACTGTGAGGATAGAGATCTCTTTCCTCAGTTATGTCCCAATGACTAATAACCCCATCAAAGACATTCTTCATTTCTGTTGCAGTGTTTTTTATCTCTAGCATTTCTCTTCAGTTCTTTCCTAGGAGTCTCTGTTTACGTTGTCCATCGGTTCTTGCCTGTTGTTGCCTTTATCTGGATAAATTAGAGCCTTCAGCATATTGATCCAGTTTTAAATTTTCAATTTGATAATCCCAACATCCTTGTCATAGCCATATCTGGTTTTGATGCTTGCTCTGTCTCTTCACCGTGTTTTCTGCCCTTTAGTATGGCTTCTAAGTTTTTCTGGATTGTTGGAACTGATATACTGGGTGAAAAGGAAACTGCCCAGCACCGGTGCCCAGTAAAGTCGCTGCTTGTGGGTTTGTATTCCCTTAAGTCGTGATCCTCTGTATTTGCCTGACCCCTCTCTAATTCTGGGGGTAGCAGTTTGCTCTGTGACCTCGGTTCTCTTGCAAATCTAGGAAAAGTTGATGATTTTTCCGTTTGCTCAGCTTTTACTTGTCAGGATCTACTGCATAAAAATCTTTTTTCCCATTGAACATTTATTTATTTATTTATCTATTTATTTATTTAAGATTTGCTCCATGATTTTTTTTTAAATGGATAACTAGTGGGAATTCTGATTGTTTCAAATAAGGCTGTAGGAAATGTATCTGATCATCCTTCGAAAAGATTCCTGCTGTGAGGGGAGAAGTGGTGATGGCGAGCCTCCACCAGCAGGGGGCGCTCTAGGATCGACGGCGGCCCGGGAAAAACTGGACGCCGCTCTCCCTCGCAGGACCCTCTGCCCCGCGGGTTTCCGCTCCCTCCGCGGCCGCGGGTTTGAGGAAGTGTTTCTAGGAGACGGCGCCTGCGCGGTTGACGCTGCCGGGTGGGGGGGCGGACTAAGGGGCCGCGGCGCTGGCTGGCTGGCGGTGTCTGCCGTGCCCGGGTCGGTGTGCCCGCCCCGGTTCTCTCGCTCCATGGTACGCCTGTGAGTCCCGTCGCCGGCGGACTTGTCCTGGGGATGGAGCACATCCGTACGACCAAGGTAGCCCGCCGCTCGCCGTGGCGTGCGTGACCCGGCAGGGGTGGGAGGCGACGGGAGCTCGGCTGGCTGGACCGGGGCTGCGGGCCTGCGGGGCCCTGTCCGGGGGGGCCGGGGCAGTTCGGGCCCGGGTGGGTGCGGAGGCCTCCTGGACCTACGGGAGCCTCGCTTCGGGGCCCGGTGTTGGGATGTGGGTGATTTGGGCTGCTGGAGGTCGAGTCCCATGAAACTGGTCGCTGCCCTCTCAGCGCTGCACTTTCTTGGGCAGAATTGGGGCTGCTTTAGCTCCGGCTGCTCTCAGGCCCTTCCCGCTGCTTCGCCGCCCCGAAGACCGGAAAACGGCCGAGCGCTCGGATTAGCGGCTGATACTGTGTAAGCTTTTCCTTGTTCACGTTGCATTGTCCCGTGTGACAGGCTGTTGATGCGAGTTTGGGGGGCGCTGAGGTAGGTCAGCCTCGGCCTCGGCGTCCGGTCGTTTGAACTGGGCCCGCCGGCTCAGGGCTCCGCACTTCGTAGCCCGCGTCAGTAGTTGAGAGGGGTTAGGGACGAGGAGAGACGGCATCCCACACCTTAAAGTGTCTGACGCAGCGCTTTTTCTCTTAACCTTGTTAAATCTCATGCTTAATTTTTGCCTGCAAAAGGCACTGATTTCTAAGGACGAACAAGCGTTCGTAGAACTCCATTACAAATGTTGAAACCGAGGGATGTGGCGTCAAAATATTACCGAATTTCGTTACCAACAGTTAAGTTCGGCCTCAAATTTGGGAGGGAGAAAAACATAAATCAAGACAAGAAGAATTGAATAAGACGATGTTGGGATCGCCCGGAGCCTCACAAAATCCGGAAGAGGACCCACTGTGAATCTTGACTCTTCAGGTTTTGCTGAAACCATCTCTCAGTTGCCACGAATCCTAAAGTTACCCTTAATTTAGAAAAAAAAAAAAAAATAGCAGACAGATGTTACCCCCATTTGTTCCATGGAGAATTTGAGGTCTACTCATTAAAATGTTTCACAAGCCTTTTTAAGGTGCCGCGGATTTTTTTTTTTCTTAGAACTTGTTTATGACACTGCACATACTATAATAAAATTGAAGATGCTAAAAACTAATCCTTGTTTTAAAAATGTCTTTTTTTTTTTAAAGAGAATGTTAAATTAACTGTATAATTCAAGTTGCTGACACTTTAAGTTTGAAAATGGAAGGGCAGTTAAGTAAATAACCAAACTAGTAGAAAATGTAGAGGTGGAAGAGCGGTCTAGAGGGTGCATCAGACCAGATTTTTGTCCTGATTGGGAGGTTCCAAATGTGTATTACCATAGTAGCTTTTCACAATGGGCCTGTCCTGATGGTTTAGTAAGGTCCTTTTATGACTTTTTAAGGAGCAGGAAATTTCTGAATAATTTTCTATTAAAATTACTTTTCAAGTTGTGTACTTTGAGTTATTCTTCTAACATAGGACCACCAGTACTCTGGAATAATCCTAAGTGGCTGTAGGTAGGCTGCAATTAAACTGATACTTACTAGGTCCCAGTTATGTGCAAGCACAGACCAGCACTGGCTATAGAGCAGTGAGCATAATAGACTTGGACTTCACTGTACGTTCTGATAATTAATAATAGACTTGGACTTCACTGTACGCTCTGATAATTAATAATAGTGCGAACTATAATATTTTCTAAAATTATGATTTTTGGGCAGCCCCAGTGGCCCAGCGGTTTAGCGCCACCTTCAGCCCAGGGTGTGATCCTGGAGACCCCCAGATCAAGTCCCGTGTCAGGCTCCCTGCATGGAGCCTGCTTCTCCCTCTGCCTGTGTCAGCGTCTCTCTCTCTCTCTCTCTCTCTCTCTCTCTCTCTCTCTCTCTCTGTCATGAATGAATAAATAAAATCTTTAAAAAAATAAAATTATGACTTTTTTAAAGATTAACATGAATATAGCCTATTGCATAATTATACTACTTCTACTTTGCATAGCCTAACTTGGATGTAGTTAATTTACTGCAAAGATGCTTGTATTTCAACACTAAAAATGAATTGCTTTAACTTTACTTGGCTGTTTTGAACTATACAGTTTAGTCACTATGATCAAAAATTGACCGTAGAGTAGTCCTGTGTAACTATTGGTTTGTTCTGTGCTGAGACAGGTTTATTTGAAAAGTAATAATTATATTTCCTAAGAACTCTATGTCAGTGTAGCCAACTGTGCAGTATTACTTTACAATACTTAAAATTTCACAATTATGCTAATCTATACAAAATTGCCACTAATTTCTTAAATAACCTTGCCAGTTGGGTATATTATCAGCATTTGCAGATGAGAAGGAAATAGGCTTGGAGAGTTGAAATAATCTGCCAATTATCTCATGAGGGGTGGAGTGAAGTTTTTTTTTAATAAAAAAAAAAGTTTATTAATTTGAGATAGAGCGAGAAAATGAGTGAGCACACAGTGGGGAGAAGGGCAGAGAGGGAGGGAGAAGCAGACTTCCCACTGAGCAAGGGGCCCAACTGTGGGGGGGGGGGGCGTTTGATCCCAGGACCCTGGCTGGGGTCATGACCTGACCCAAAGGCAGATGCTTAACCCAGTAAGCCACCCAAGCGCCCTTAAGAGTTAAGGTGTTTTTTTTTTTTTTTTTAAAGATTTTATTTATTTATTCTTGAGAGACATGGAGAGAGAGAGGCAGAAACACAGGCAGAGTTCAGAGAAGCAGGCTCCATGCAGGGAGCCTGATGTGGGGTGCATCCTGGGACCCTGGGATCACACCCTGAGCCAAAGGCAGATGCTCAACCACTGAGCCACCCAGGTGTCCCTAGAGTTAAGATTTAAACCAAGGTTTGTCATAATTTTTTTTTCATTACTTCTCTGGTTTTAATCTAATTGTTAAAATGTATTAATATTCAGAAATGAATCCTAATAATAATTCTGAGAGCTTTTTTTCCTCCCCAAACCTCTTCTTGACGTAAGTAAATATTTATGTGATATTATTTTGTATTGTTTATGATCATTGTGGGTTTTTTTATTGTTTATGAACCAGAGGTTTATAAGATAAACTGTTTTAGCTGAGTACTGATTAAATGACTTTATAGTTATAAAATTCAGGAGCAGATACACCATCCTAATTGGTCATATTTGGTTTACTAACTGTATAGCATCGCCAAAGATGTCAAGACTGAATTTGAATTTCCGAAAGACTATTTCCAAGCTCTGCCTATCACTTTGAGCTCTAATTTTTCCATAATGAGGTAGTCTTGCCAAGAAACAATGGGAAATATGCAGAGACAGTTCTTCTTTATGCAGTCTTTCTCCTTTCCCTGCCAGGCTCTAGTGCTTTGGCTGACATCATCTGTTGATGTCGAATGATGTGCTGTTTGTGAATGGAACTTTACAGAATGTAATGGAAGAATGTTTTCCTAAACTATATATGGTAGACTGCTTTCTAGAGTTTGTTAAAGAATGGAATGTCCCATGAAAATCTGACCCCATTGGGGCTCAAGTTGAATTATTGCAAAATGCCTAGCTGCTACTCATTTTTGTCATTAGGATGTGCGGTCATGTGTGTATGTATACAAGTATGTGTAATCAGTTACAAAGAGGGAAAGAGGTGCAAACTAAGAATAAGAGCCAGTAGATTGTGGGGAGTATCTGAGTGCTTTTCCTCACGTAAAGCACTATTTTGGCTAATTAATATTATTCCATTATACAAGTGAGAAGACTGAAATTTGCAGAAACTAAATAATGTGTCCTGACTCAAATAGATAGTTCTATTAAGGAAGAGGTGGAGCTGGGAACTTGAATCCTGATCTTTCTGATACTAGTCTTATTCTCTTAACCATAACACTCCTCTCCTCAGAGTAATTGTCTAATCAAGAGATTTGAGTCTGGGTGACTTAGCCAGTTAAGTGTCTGCCTTAAGCTCAGGTCATGATCCCAGGGTACTGGGATCGAACCCTGTGTGATCTGGGCTCCCTGTTCACTGGGGAGCCTGCTTCTCCCTCTCCTTCTGTGCCCCCTCCCTCTGCACACTCTTTTTTGCTCACATAAATAAATAAAATATTTTTAAAATAAAGAGATTTGAATAGTGAGGTAAGTCAGTGTTATTGGGACTGGAAGAAAGGCAGGGGATGGAGGAGAAGAACTGAGGTGGTAGGATTTTGTCCAGTAGGTAGCTGATTAGAAAGGTGTAGGGTTAGGGAAAAGGTGTGGTCCAGAAGAATAGATTTGGGAGTAATCTATTGATGTAATCACGATATTTTCTTTTCTGGATGAGGTTGTGCAAGGTACATGTAGAGGCTCTGTGGTGGAGAAGAGTGAATGTTAGAGCCCCAGGAGTACTTACAAGGGGCAAGCAGAGGAAGAGGAGTCAGAGAAAGAGTGTTAGGGATAAAACGGGAAGAGACGAATCACAAGAAAAGAAGGCTTCCCTATTCTAATTTCCTTCTTTGCTCCCTCTTCCTCTTCTCTCTCCTTTTTTAGGGCCTGGTATTCTAGGTACTGGGGAAATGGTAGTTTCCAGACAAAAGCCCCTGCCATTCCAAAACATCTTTTCTAGTTGGGGGACACATGACAGAAAACAAAGTTAATAAGCCAAATACATAATACAGTAGATGGCAGTGCTATGGAGGGTGCCAGGGTGAGGTTGGGGGAGAACAGCTGTCAATGTGGTAGTTTGGGAAGCCCTTACAGAGATCATGAATTACTTGAGTAGAGAGTGGAAAGTGGTGAGGCAGCAAGCCATCTTCACAGCAGTAGGGGTTGTGGAGGGGTGGCTGGGAGAGTCCCAGAGAAGGCACAGCAGGGGCAACCTCCCTATGTTGGTCATACCTGGTTAGTAAAAACTAGCAAGAAGACCAGTGTGGCTAGAGGAGAGTGAGTGAAGGAGAGAGCACAGTAGGAAATGAAAAGTTGGAAACAGGGGCAAGCCTTTGCAGGATAATGTGAAATCTTGGCTTTTACTGAGTGAGACAGGAAGCCATTCATGGAAAGTCACCTGTGCCAATGCTGCAGAAAA